GTGGATGGGGAAGTGGGTCCTTCCAGAGGGGAGCGGCGGGTCCAAAGGGCCTCCGGCGTTTAAGTTAGATCTCTGGAGACCGGTCCCGTCTGAACCGAGGCGCGAGGGTCCGCGGAAGGAGGGCGGACCACACACCCGAACCGATCGGCTCCTATACTACAAGCGCCGGCCGTTCGGAGAGACTAGGGGTACCGGCCGCGGGGCCAGCTCAGGCATCGTCCGTCCCCGGCGGGAAGGCCCCGGCCGGCGAAGGCCGGTTGGCGGCTGCAGGGAAGTCCGCGCCGCCGCTCAGGGGGAGGCCGCTGAAGGGCCGACCGAGCGCGGCCATGGCCCGGGGAGACGAGGGGGCTGCGTCCGCGGCCCAGGCCGCCCGCGTCCCCCAGGCCCCGCGGCTGCAGCCACAGCGATTGTCGAGAGGTGCCCGCCTCTGAGCCCGCTCTTGACCTCACGTCACGCCTTCTAGAACCCTCCACCCCGGGCCGCCCAGGGGCACGCTGGGATTTGTTGTGTGTGGAGAGCGGCTGCCGCGAGGAATGCTGGGAGTCGCAGTCCTGGGGAACTACAAACAAGATGGCTGCCTTGGCTGAGCGGCTAAAGCTTGAGGATGGCTCTGTCAGGCTTTGGCCTGACCTAGGTTCGAATCCTCCCTTCACAAGGTATGTCATCCGCACCTCCGTTTTCTCAGTAGTAAAACCCAATAATAATAGTGCCTATCTTCCTAGGGTTGATGGGAGAAGTAAGTGAATTAAACGTATAGAGCCTTTGGAACTCTTCTCAGCACAGGGTACAAATTCATTAAATATCAGCCATTAATTCCTTCTGTCCTATCTAATAAAAGTCTAATATGCAAATTGTTCCCTCCACCGGGAATTCCATCGGGAGTTTGACCAGGGGGCGGGGCCGGCTGGCCAACCTCCTTTGGCCCCTCCCCCCAGCCGGCCTGGCCCAATCTCGGGCAGGCTGGCCGGACCCCACCAGTTTGCACCGGGCCTCCAGTGTTTTAATATAAATGAAGTCGGTGATGCCTTAGAGCAGTGGTTCTCAACCTTCCTAAGGCCGTGACCCTTTAATACAGTTCCTCCTGTTGTGGTGACCCCCAACCATAAAATTATTTTCGTTGCTATTTCATAACTGTCGTTTTGCTACTGTTATGAATCGTCATGTAAATATCTGATATGCAGGATGTATTTCCATTGTTACAAATTGAACATAATTAAAGCATAGTGATTAATCACAAAAACAATATGAAACTAGAGATGTGTTTTCCAATGGTCTTAGGCGACCCCTGTGAAAGGGTCACCCCCAAAGGGGTCGCGACCCACAGATTGAGAACCGCTGCCTTAGAGGGAACAGCAGGGAGGGGCAGTAAAGACCTCAGAGCGCTTGTGCAAAGTCTTCCAGCTTCTGCCTGGGGCATCCGGAGACACAGGCTTGCCCAAGGGGCGAGCAGAGTGGGTCAACCCCAACCACTGATTATGCCCTACTTTCCCCATCTCAGGGAATGGCACCACCGTCCAGTCCGAGTTGTTTGTGCCAACGTCAATGCCCAGCAGCCAGAGACCACCAAGATCGTATCTGTAATTGAACAAAGATGTGTTGATTGACCCCTTCTAGTGAGGGAGTCTCTCAGGAAGGGCAGCTTTTTATAGGATTTGGGCTGCCTTGGGTGCTTTGGAGGAAGGTTCTGGAATTAATATTGTCAGGAAGCAGGATTAATTCTGCCAATCTTTTCTAGAAGGTGTGAGGAATGAAGGTAGGCTAAACCCATACTTGATAAAGAAGCAAGTTCTTCATGTTAGCCGGGATAGGGGGATATGGGTCCATTTGTGGTTTAAACAATGTGCACATGGTCGTGTGTACTCAGATAGGATTATGAAGTACTCTTGTTTTTATCTTGATCCATTAAAGTCACATCTCAGACCTTGTTTGATGTGGACATTCTGAGAAGCTGTTTAACAGGAAGACACCAAGTCCTACCTGATAGCACCAGGCCAGTATCAGCTGTCAGAAGATGCTTCTCTCCTAACCAAAAATCGAAGTATCATCGATGCCCCTTTTGTATTCACCCCTGTATTTAATCAGGTAGCAAGTCCTATCGGCTTTATTTGTGAAATGCTTCCAGATTAGCTTTCTCCATTCCCATTGCTCTCATAATGGTCTAAGAAAAAAAATGAATGATCCTCTTTTGCCTAATGTAAATAATGGATTAGGTTTACATTTTCTTAGTGGCATTTACAATCCAGTTTTGCCCCTCTTAGTTAACATCCCATTTATCTCAACTGGATTTAAAAGGTAGTCTCCTGGCCGGCTGGCATGGCTCAATGGTTGAGCACCTACCTATGAACCAAGAGGTCATGGTTCAATTCCTGGTCAGGGCACATACCCAGGGGGCATGCAGGAGGCAATAGAAGATTCTCTGTCATCATTGCTGTTTCTATCTCTCCCTCTCCCTTCCTCTCTGAAATCAATAAAAATGTTTTGTTTTTTTTTAAAAAAGGGAGTCTCCTGGGGATCATTTCTACAAATGGTCACCTCATTCCTCACTTAAAAAAAATCCTGCTAGATGATATTATATACACATATAAATATGTATTTATAAAAAGGGAGTCCTACTCTCTATATATTCTGAAACTTTTTTTCTATATTTATTGAATGCCTATCCAGATTCATTCTTTCATTCAGAATTTGATACCAGGCTGTATACCCTTATCAGGCAATGTATTAGAATTAATAGTTTATTAGGTACTTCCTATTTGTAAGTGCTTTTTGCTCAGAAAAAGTCAAGTATTTCTCACAGTAACTCTAAATTGGATGCTTTTATTACTCCCATTTTACAGATGAGAAAATTGAGGCAAGTTATGGTTCCCAATTCCCTCAGCTGTAAGTAAAGGAATTTAACCCCAGATCATAAAAGTACTGGTGTATTATGGCTACTAGTTTGAAGAAGAAAAAATGTGTATATGAAAACGAAAAGGAGGTATGAGGCCCCGGGTTCGTTCCCCGGCATCTCCACCAAAAAAAAAAAAAAGAAAAAAAAGAAAAGAAAAGGAGGATGTAATATGTAAACAGGAAATGTGTTAAGGCATGGTAGTTTTTCACTATTATTTTAAAGCATATTTTATTTATAAATGCATTAGTGTTTATCTCTAACGAATACTTTTCCAAAAAACATAATTACAATGCTATTATTGTGCATAACAAAATTAGTAATAATACTTTAAAATCATCTATTCAGTATTCCTATTTTTCCAAGTGCCCCCAGATGTCTTTTTATAGTTGGGTTGATGGCATCATGATTCAATATTGCATTGGATTTGCCTATCTCTTGAGTCTCCTTTACTCCCTGTCTGCTTTCTTCCTTGTTAATTATTTGTTGACTCACTAGGTCATCTGGACATTGTCATTGTCATCCTGAGTACTGATGGTGGCGATGAGGCATCGTCACATGACTTCTCAGGTCCAAGGGAGCCTGGAGCAGAAGAGGAAGGACATGGCAGATACTACCACCTGCTTGGTAAGCACAGTCCCAGTGGGTGGTAGCTTCCTCTTGTAAGCAAGTAGGACTCTGCAGAACTAGGGCTATCAGTATTATCATGACCCAATTCATTATCTCTTGCCTGCTGGAGCCTCTTAGCTGTTCTCTTTGTTCTACTCTTGCCCCTGCAGCCCATTAGCCACAATATGGCCAGACATATTTGTCCACCATGCCACCCGATGTGCTCCTCCCCTGCTATAAACTCTTCCCTAACTCCCTATTACTCTTGGGAGAAGGTCCAACCTCCTTCAGGCTCCACATTCCTTCAAGATCCCTCACCTTCCCGCCTCCCCAGCTTTGTATCTTCCCACTCCCCACCTGATATCTGCATCTAGCAATTTGGATTTTCTTCCGTTTTCTATTGAATTTCTCTCTTTTCCTCTCTCTCACCTTGAAATTTGGATACATTTATCCTTCTCCCTGCTAACAACTGCCATCTTTTACATCCAAACAGACCTTTCCAGTATATCCAATGTTTGTGGTGCTTTTGGAGCCAGAAGAAAGGAACTATTGTAGATTACAGACAATGACGAGTGGTCCTGTTTTAAAGTCTTGGAGAACCTTATGCAATGTATTCTGCCAAGAGCAGGCTTGAAAGTAGGAAATGAGGGATTTTCACACGGCTCTTGGGGGTTAACATCAATGAGAATGCCCACAGTGTTCCTTGGTTTCCTTGGTGCCCGTGACGGGGGCAGAATAAATGGGCAATTGGACGGAGCAGTGAACCTTCTCCCTTGTTTCCACATTGTCCCGAGGAACAATGGAGGGGGCTCCTGTACGCATTCCTGGCTATTTATTATACTTTGTTCTCACAGCTCTCACATGTGTTTAAAAAGATAAAACTGGATTGATTCATAAGCATTTGCCCCTGCATTACACTGTGATGTGGTCTACAATTTTCTTTATAATATTTCTGCATGCAGAGTGTGAGAGAATGTGTGTGTTGGCATTGATCCACCCTGGGGCAGGTATGCTTCACCCTAACCACAATGTCAAGGACATTTAATCAAAGGCAGCTCCTACAAGTGTGGTCGCTATCTCACTGCTCATTACCATTAGCAATGTTACAATGAGTTTTTTGTGGATAACATGAGTGGAATTTAAGATTTTACATATAGATCTATAATCAGAAAAGCACAATATGCTAATTAGACCAGACGTCCTTCCGGACGACCTTCCGCAGGCTGTGAGGAAAGCCCAGGTCCCAGGTGCTGGCGGCCGGAGATCGGGCCTCTAATATATATGTTAGAATTACTGGAGGTGTTTCCATCCTGACATTAATAAGGCATAGAAATCCAGCGAGCTCTTCCATCTCCCACACTCAAGATGGCACCCCAGGTTTGATTCTTAAGTGGTCCTGTGCCCCATACTGGTGGGGAGAGTTCTTGGTCATATCCTGCCACTAGGACGCTTTTAATTTGCCTCAGAGGAAACATATGTTTGGAAAAACAAAGAGGAACCGAGCTGGAACTTGATTATTTCTAGAATATGTGGTTTGGCTGTTTCATTCCTACTTGCTAAATGTCCTTTACTGGAGGCAGATTTTTTGATGAAACTTGCTTTCATTAAAACCTGGTAGAATGAAAGGGTGAAAGAGGAAATCACAGGGGAAATTAGAAAATGCTTTGGGATGAATGAAAATGAAAATGCAACATACCGAAATGTAGGGGATTCAGTAAAAGCAATGGCTAGGGGAATTTACAGTTATAAATGCCTATTTTAGAAAAGATCTCAAATCAATTATCTAAAACTTCCACCAAACTAAACCCAAAGCAAGCTGAAGGGAGGAAAGAATAAAGATTAGAGCAGAAATAAATGAAACAGAGAATAGAAAAAATAGAGAAAAATCAGTGAAATAAAAAGTTTGACAAGATGAACACAATTGACAAACCTTTAGCTGTTGGATTGACTAAAAGAAGCAGAAAGTAAAGACTCAAATTACTAAAATTAGGAATGAAAGAGGGGATTATAAGTGAATACTTTGTACAAATATATGCCAACAAATTAGATAATTTAGATTAAATGGATAAATTCCTATCCCAGCTGGTGTGGCTCAGTGGTTGAGCGTTGACCTATCTACCAGGAGGTCACGGTTCAATTCCTGGTCAGGGCATATGCTAGGGTTGTGGACTCAATCCCCAGTAGAGGGTGTGCAGGAGGCAGTTGATCAATGATTCTCTTTCATCATTGATGTTTCTATCTCTCCTCCCATCCTCTGTGAAATCAATAAAAAAATATTTTTAAAAAATGGTTAAATTCCCAGAAAAACACAAAACTGATTCAAGAAGAAATGTTCACAGCAACTCTGAGATAGGTACTATTATTATCACTATTTTAAAGAAGAAATGAAGCTTAGCACAATGATGTACAGCAAGTAAGTGGCAGAGCTAGGACTGAAACCCAGGTGAATTAGTCAGCTCAGGCTACCATGACTAGACGGCTGAACTAGCAGGAATTAATTTTCTCAGTGTCTGGATGCTGGAAGTCCAAGATAAAGGTGCCCCTCCCGGGGAGTTTCAGTTTCCGGGAGGAGTCTCTTCCTGACTTGTACATGGCAGCCTTCTTTCCGGCTTTTTCACAGGGCCTTTCCCCAGCGCGTGAATGTGGGTAGAGTGAACAAGGGAGCTGTCTGGTTTCTTTTCTAAGGACACTGAACCTATCGAATTACGGCCCCACATTTATGATCTCATTTAACTTTAATAACTTTCCTAGAGGCACCATCTCCAAATACAGCCACACTGGGGTAAGGGCTTCAAATAGACATTTGGGGGTAGGGGGTGGGGACATATACACTTGGTCCCTAACACTATGCCTGTCTGACAGGAGCAGAGATTCTCAAATTAGTCAAGACCTCTGATTGGTTCTGACACTATATTAGGAATGATGTGGCGGTGGGAGGTGGGTGCTTTCATTTGCTTCACTGAGCCAGAAACTTGAATCCAAATAGGGCTGCTAACCTCTCAGAAGCATACCACCCATAGGGCTTTGTCAGGGAACACTTGAAAGTGTTCCTGGCTTTAGAAGTCCAACTAAATGGAAGAGTTTAGAATAAAAGGGAAAGATTTTGCAAGGGGGTTGGGGGTGGGGAGTAATCCCACGGACTCAGAAGCCATGACTCAGAAATAAAGTCTTTTTTATTTATTCCCCAAGTCAGAAATGACTTGCTGGGAAGCCCAATGACCTTTCCAGTTGATGGCAACAGGTAAGGGAAGTTTCTTTGAAGTTCCTCCAGAGATGTCATTTGAGCCAGTATTTATCTGATTTCTTTTTGCGGTCAGATTGTTTTGGTCCTGATCATTGTTCTGAAGAAGGAATAAAGATTGTCTGTGGAAGTATATCAAACACTCCTTTCATCTCCTTTACAGAAGAACCCAATTTAGCCAGGACATTTGCTTGCGTTGTAATTATTTACTTAAAGGACTCCCTGTGTGTTTGCAGACAAGTAACTCATTCTCCTTGTAAATTGTGAGGGGTTAGAGATTGTACTGATATCCCCAAGTACCATTAAGCAGACAGCTGTTGTGGTCCATTTTCCTTCAGAAGATCCATAAATCCTCAAATGTTACTGGGTCAGGATTCAGAAGATACCAATTCTTAGCAAGGATGAGGGAGGATGCGAAGGAGCTGCAGTGTTAAGCTCTGGTCGTATGGAAACCATGGTTCAGAACCCTGGATTTTTAGTTATAAACAAGCAATTCTCTCCAAGAGTTTGAATATTGTTTCCTGGAATTTTAAAATCAGAATTTTCTATTTTAATCGTTGATTCAGAGACTTAAAGAATACCTTTTTTGTTGTTGTTCTGGAAATAATCAAGAACTTAAAACTGAATTTCCAAAGATCCAAAAAGGGAAGTGGAGTTGCTTCAGGCTGGGTTAGAAGAACATGGAAATCATGACAAGAGATTGTCAACTGTCCAGAGAAATTAAAAGTGCTTTACCTCAAGGTGGAGCTGAAAATGTAGTTAGCGTTGAATACCAGACTGATTCTTGGTAATAGTAACTACATTTTGAAATGTAGGCCAGAGACCCTTAGGCAGCTTTGCATGTTACCAAACGATGTCCTGAAGGTCTAGCCCAGGGGTCCTTAAACTACGGCCCTCGGGCCACATGCAAATACAAATGTTGTATTTGTTCCCGTTTTGTTTTTTTACTTCAAAATAAGATATGTGCAGTGTGCATAGGAATTTGTTCATAGTTTTTTTTTTTTTAAATATATTTTATTGATTTTTTACAGAGAGGAAGGGAGAGGGACAGAGAGTTAGAAACATCGATGAGAGAGAAACATCGACCAGCTGCCTCCTGCACATCTCCCACTGGAGATGTGCCCGCAACCCAGGTACATGCCCTTGACCGGAATCGAACCCGGGACCCTTCAGTCCGCAGGCCGATGCTCTATCCACTGAGCCAAACCGGTTTCGGCAGTTTTTTTTTGAAACTATAGTCCGGCCCTCCAACGGTCTGAGGGACAGTGAACTGGCCCCGTTTAAAAAGTTTGAGGACCCCTGGTCTAGCCATTAGGAAGGTGTGGCTCTAGGGCAAAGGTTGGCAAGCCCATGGGCAAATCTAGTCCAATGCCTGTTATGTAAAGTGCTACCAGGCCTATGGCTGGCTAAGCCTAAGGTATGTACTTCCTCTTCTTTTGCAGAAAAAGTTTGCCCAACCCTCCTCTAGGGCCTCAAGTCGGCCCAGTCCCCACCTCCTCATCTATTGGTCTAGCTAGGGGCATGGTGTGTCAGCATCACATGAAAAATTGACCAAACTCTGGTTAGTCTGTTTCTGCTGGCATGACAAACCTTGCCATCCATTAATGCTTGAGCCACATGTTTAATTAAGATGATAGAAGCAGTTAAAGTAATCTAGCAGAAGCCAGAAAAGAAATAAATAAGAACTTTATTTTTAAAAAAATCAGCAACAATTAGAGGGGAATCATCTTTAACTTGATCTTTTCTTCTATATTTGAAAAGTATCTCATCTTTGTTAAAATTTCTTTGGCTTTTTCAAAATCATCTGAAATAAACAGAGACATTAATGTGAGACTTCATTTCAGGCAAGAATAAAACTAAGTCTATTGATTAAAGAGCTGGATTAAAGTTGAGCCCCCACCTCTGGAGGGCTGGGCAAGTTCATCCATGTTGGAGCATGTGTCAGAATCTCCTGCCTTTTTAAGGCTGAATAATATTCCATTGTATGGATATGTCATATTTTGTTTATCTGTTCAATTATTGATGGACACTTGTTAGCTATTGTGAAAAATCCTACGAACATGGGTATGGACAAGAATCACGTCCTTGACCCAAGTCTAGCCAGACTCCTCTGAACTCTCTTCTCAGGTAGGCCTCAACCTTGACCTATACTAACATATGATAACAGCTTCTAGTAAGTCAAGGCCACATCCCCAGATAATCCTAGACCCTCTTAAAATGCCTTCCGAGTAAACTCAAGGCTGACAGAAGAACTGACTATTTATCGCAGCCAATATGAAAGGATAGGGGTTCTGTTTCCCAGGGAGGGTAGGAGCCTAACTTCAATAAGTGCCAGTTAGCAATCCCAGATGGGTTTCACATGGACCAACCCCCCCACCCCCACCCCCACTTCCTGCTTTGGCATTTTTCACTTCCCAGATCCCTCTGACCTCCTGTGCACCACCACCGCATTTCCTCATTCTCCCTTTAAAGCGCCCAGCCACAAACTGTAGCTGCGTTTAGTTCCCAGTGGACTCTTTTCCCTAAGGCAATAGTTATTACTGATTCAAATCTGCACTTAGCACTTTAGTGTCTGGCTTTGTTTATTGTTGACAATTACCCAGCACCGTGACTCGGGTCTGGATTGGAAACACCATCGAACCCCTGGTTGTGACAGCCAGGCCTTCGACATGCAGAGGCCCTTGTCTGATCTCTCGTCTGATGCTTATTTGGGTACTTGGTGGCGAGTACAGCTCCAATTCTCCAGACAAATGTCTGAAGCACCGTGAAGACAGATTCTGATGCTTGCAATTCTGAGTGGACTCTCTGAAGCTGGGCCAGCGTCCCAGGCTTCTTCTGAAAGGTGTCCCCTAGAGCAGTGATGGCGACCCTATGACACGCGTGTCAGCGGTGACACGCGAACTCATTTTTTTGGTTGATTTTTCTTTGTTAAATGGCATTTAAATATATAAAATAAATATCAAAAATATAAGTCTTTGTTTTACTATGGTTGCAAAGATCAAAAAATTTCTCTATGTGACACGGCACCAGAGTTAAGTTAGGGTTTTTCAAAATGCTGACACGCCGAGCTCAAAAGGTTCGCCATCGCTGCCCTAGATTCTGGGCTAGAATCCTTCCGGGCTCCCTGTTTCCAGCGAGGATTGGCTCCCAGGCTGGAATTTTTTTTCCTGGCTCTTTGTGAGGCCTCTTTGTTCTATTTGAGTCAGCTCCTCCATGAGAACTTCTCAATCGATTGAAACCTCCCTTCTCGAACTCCTGCTGACTGTACGTCACCATGGTGCTGTGTCCATTTCTTAGATCGTCTGACTTTACTTAGGAACTTTTGAGGCTCTTTGGGAAACTTAAGATCTCCTCACACTATCTCCTTCAAGACCTCTCCTTCCCCTCACCCCACTCCTCTTTCCTCCTTTACCACCCGCCATCTTCCCTTTAGCTCCCTTACATCCTCTGAGATGTCGAAGAAAAGATACTTAATTTTCCCTAGGTTATATGTGTATGGTAAAACATTATTTCAGAAATTGTGTACTTCATAGAAATTTATCAATGCCACCACTACCCATAATATGTCTTGGTAAAATGTTATTAATCAAGTTATTATTTTAAAAATGTGTATGTCACAGAAACAACCAGATTTCCTTGCCAATTGTGTTATTTTTAGAATGAACTTTCATCAGATCTTTAACTATGGGCACTTTAACTAAATCTTTTGCTACCCACAGATAGTTGTTTTACTCTGCTGCTTTCCTAAAGGATTGTGCAACCAGCTACAGGCCATACCACTTGTGTTTAACAAAAAGGGCCTGTCTTGAAGATTCATGAGAAAGGACTGTGCCAAGTACTCAGGAATACAGGCTTCTCATGGCATTGCTTAATAACTTTGAAATCAAACCAATAAACTAAATCAGAATTTCTAAAAGCCAGTGGGTTCATAAAACTGCTAACCTAAGATTAAGTAGAATACAATTAATTACATGGGATTGAGTAAACTGATAAAGAATGACTATAACTTTTTATATATTTTGTTTGAAATTTTGCTGGCTCTTAAATGCTCTATTTTCCAGATGTAAGAAAAGCCCGTTCTGTTTTCTCTTCAGCTATCTATGACTCATAAAATCTAGTAAATTTTACTTCCATAAACAAAGTTAAACTATTATGGAGTATTCTTATTTTCCTAGCAAAGTAGTTATTTGTTCATTGTTTTGAGGTTTTGTTCAATAAGAATCTGTCCTCTTTGTCATAGATCATAGTTGAAAACACCAGTTATATTATGAAAGCTTTGACTAGAATGTCATGTTTGAAAATGATGCTTAAAATCAGACATGACCAGACAATTTCAAGGAACTACGGTTGATTCTTTGGAGCCACTGCTTACAAAGCCCTCTTGGAAAAACCGACCTGGTATATGAGAGAGAGACTTAGGTAAGTAAGGTAACTTCCTGGAGAGTCCAGGAAGCTCAGGATATTTTGGTGACCTTGAGAAGAGAGGAGTTCACCCACTGAAGTTCATGAAGCCTGATGGAGGAGTCTTGGCTTGACTTCCTAGCACTTGAGAAACTTTTAAAGCCCAACATCAGATTCCTTATAAAAACTTCCATAAAGAAAACTTAAAAGGCCTGTATGATCGATTATCGTTCTTGTTGGAGTTACATAAATAATCAGGTCAAACTTAATGAAACTAAAACTATTTTGTAAACAAGAATAATCTTTCTTTATCGCTGATTAAAAAGGAGGGGTGACTGTGGAGATAAATTTTGTTTCAGTGGAAAAGAATAACACACTCCTGTGGGTTATCAGAATCGAGACTTGTTGTCTTTGAGGTTGTTTACCTGTAAATGAAACGGAATCCTGCCACCTTACACGTTTTGTCAGCCCTTACCAAATCCTCAATTCTCCTAGTTTTCTTCAGTATCTGGCCACAACTCTACAAACTTATGTCTCCAATTTTTCTCCTTCCCTCCTGAGTTGGTGTCACTAAGAAGTAAAGCCTGCCCGCCTAGATCCTTCCTGGGACTCAGGTTGTCTTGTAGTGGCCCCTGTCCTCCAGGCCCCGAACAAGCCCTGAGCTGAAGCCTGATAACACGGGCCACCCTGAAAGCCCTCCAGGACTCCTGCCTCTTCCGTGCTCTGCTCTGGGCAATGACCACGACTGTGACAATGCTGCCTGTGCCATCACCATCAAACATCAACCAGGAAACCCATCAGATTGCCGCTGCCACCCTCACGTCACCATCTAAAGATGCTTAAGAGTTCAACGTCTTCTCAAGTGGCTGCACTCTCGACTCAGAAACTGGGTTTATAGCAGTGGTTCTCAACCTTCCTAATGCCGCGACCCTTTAACACAGTTCCTCATGTTGTGGGGACCCCCGATTTCATTGTTACAAATTGAACATAATGAAAGCATAGTGATTAATCACAAAAACAATATGTAATTATATATGTGTTTTCCGATGGTCTTAGGCGACCCCTGTGAAAGGGTCGTTCGACCCCCAAGGGGGTCAAGACCCACAGGTTGAGAGCCGCTGGTTTATAGTCTGCTCCAACCAGTAATCTTTGTTTTTCTTTTTGTTTCCATAGAGATGCTCCTCATTAAATGCCCGATCCCTCACATTATTCAGCAAATGTCCTATAACTACCGTCTCAACAGATGCTTTAGCTAGTCCTCAATAAGCAAAAGGTGATCAAATGACTGTACTGGACTGGACATCTGGGCCAATCAAATTTCCTCTCCCAGAATCTAGAGTTGGGTCTAGGGGACTCTAGTCAAATGGTGAAAGGCCTTGTTCTTATAAGGTGATAGGCCAAGGAGGACTAGATAGTCATCCCGGTGGGAAAGGCCACTTTGGGGCACCAGACACCAGTGAGGAGGCAGACAGAGTGGTTTTTAGAGGAGAAGAGGATGGGATGAACTGCCAGGGGCGCTGAGTCCAGCACCACAGTCTTAGCTCCAGACTGCTTTCTGGTTCCCAAGTTCTATCCCCACAAAAGCCCTTATCACACTGTCCTACAATCATGACAGGGCCTTTCTCTTTGGATTCGGGAGGTTGCCCTGAATCCTTACAATAACTTCCCTTTATCTGGGCTCCCCTGAGTGGCTTTCCGCTTCTTGCATTCCAATGAACCCTAAGCTAAAAGGCCATGATTCTCTTAGTTAAGGGGTGGCACCAGTCAGGAATGGATGGAAAGGTTGTTCTTGCTTAAAAACAGCGAGCAATGGACAGAGTCTCTTCCCTCTGAGCCAGGACAGTGGGGACCAGGTGAACAGCCCACATTTGTGACTTGGGCTGAGCTCTGCCAGGGGTTTCTTCTCTTGGACTTTGCAGAAGAAGGGGTGTGCAGGCTTTGCCAAATGGTGAGTGTGCAGCCTTGTCCTCGGAATCTACCTGTGTTGGTTCCAGCCCACATCCCTCATCCTATCTTCTACTTGTTAAAAGGGAATGAAAGCACTTCTCTCATCGAATCTCTCACTGGCATATCACTGGTTTTGGCACGCAGCTTGTTTTCCCAGCAAGACTGTGAATTCTGAAGGCAAAAATGCACTCTCATCTACATTTAATACCTTCCCATTAAACCATCATTAATAGGTATATAATAGCTACGTGTTGAACGGGTGTTTATGTCTCAGTGCTTACAATTTCTTCCCATATTTGAGAAAGTGAAGAAATGAAGACAATACCTTGTTCAAAGGCTCTGCTCAAATTGTCAGTCAGTTCTTCCTGTTTAGCTGCAAGGGAAAACCATTATCTTAATTTTTCTATTTAGATAGGCTCATGATATGAAGACAAGGTTGCATTCCAGGGAGGTAGGGATGTTCCAGGTCTAACCTCCAGACAAAATTGGTTTCGGTATACTCAAGGGAAAAAAAAAATCCCTGAATCATTTATATTCATTTTTCACTTAACCCGGAAATGAACTCAAAATGGCAATAAAATGCATTTGGTGGTATTTTATCTTTTACCTCTGACAATAGATTCAAACTCGTTAATGGCAGCTTCACTTTGAGCTTCTGCGAGTTTTTCATTGATATCCATTATTTCCATGAGGAATTGATTGTCCATTTTATAATCTGTTCCTTCAGGAATCTCTACTCCATGGAGCTTTAGCTATTGGGGCATAAAGCAGGCGAAATAAGTATTGTTCAAGAAACTGTGGCCAACATCATAAATCCTACTCACCCTTCTGAACAGAACACCACTCGGGGAGAACTTGGACTTTCCTGGTAATGAAAGTGGGAGGGCAGCGTGCTGGAAACTTAGACTGAGAAAGGAATGCTTGGACGGGGTACTTTTCTGCTACTCAGAAGTGTGTGACCCTGGGGGAGTCACTCCTCCACTTGTGAGTTTGAACTAAATGTTTGTAAAGATTCTATTAAATCCTAAAATTCGAAGGTATTCACCTCTGCCCTTCCCTCAACACCCCCAAATTACTTTCCTAACAGCCATCATCCTCCAATCCTTGAAATTTATAGAAAATGTTTTTTTTTTTTTAAAAAATGCAATTGGGCAAGTAAGATTTACAGGTATTATCCAGAGAAAACTAGACTCCTGTAGTATCTTTGGGTCCCAGGACTGGCTCAGGGCTCAAACACTCCTTTGACAAATATAAGGAGCAACTGTCCCTCAGTGCAATGAACACCAGGTAAGTCACACATACAAGGGTTGGAACATCACCTTACAAGGTATAGTCCCCTGCTCAGGGGGGCCAGAAGGGTCTTATAGGCGTCATTCACCAGGGTCGAATGCTTCTCTGAGAAGTCCTTTTCAGTCTGTGAGTGGAGATGAAGATAAGTCTTATTACCATGCAAGTCAGCCATCTTACAAGAACACCCTGTTTCATAAAATACTGATGGGCAGGAACCTAAGGACATGGCCGAAGTAGAACTGCGGGATGAGCTATATTTATTTTCAACTGATGGGTTCTAATTCTGCAGAACAGGCCCAGGGCCTGGCTGTCACAGGGTGGAGCCAGCTGTCCAGCTCTGTCCCTGATAATCAGTCACCACCAGGCCCCTGCCACCCACCCGGAATGCACATGTGTTTGGGTATGATTAAGAGTGGCCAATAGACTACCTGAGACCTCTGGCCGAAGAAATCTGGGTGGACAAGACGCTGTAGCTGCTGGTACCTATGCTGGAGCTTTGCAGTGTCAACATTGAAGGAACGTTTGCTGGAAGGAAATCGGGAGATGAAATTCATGCATCATATATGAATAGATTTGTATACTATGGGCCTCGTTCCTGTTCCCAGGGAGGAATAGGCAATAAACATGCAACAGTGATAATTCCCAAAAGTGTTAGGTTCTGTGAAGAAAAAAACAGAACAGGGTCAGAGAGAGGGGTACATGTGGTGGACAACGAGCTGCATTTGAGCTTCGACTTGAATGATGATGAGGAGTCATCAAAGATCCTGGACAAGCCATCCACACAGAGGAAACGTGCTAGTTTGGCACCGGGAGGGACTTAAAAAGGTTACTTTTGTTGCTGCGGCCCATCCTAAGTGCTCAATGACTGCTTGAACGGGTAATTACTAGTATATCTCAGTGCTTACAATTTAACGGTGGACCAGAGTTAAGCGGAAGGAGCATTGCTGGATCCCACCCTATCGTTCCAAGGCCACGGTCCCTTCATCTCAGTCACCCACCTTGTTTTGTTGTTGTTGTTTTAAATATTTTTATTGATTTCAGAGAGGAAGAGAGAGAAAGATAGAAACATCAATGATGAGAGAGAATCACTGATTGGCTGCCTCCTGCACACCCCCTACTGGGGACCAAGCCTGTAACCTGGGCATATGCCCTTGACTGGAATCGAACCTGGGACCCTTCAGTCCACAGGCCGATGCTCTATCCACTGAGCCAAACCGGCTAGGGCTCACCCACCTTGTTTTAATCCAATCCCCTTTGCTTTCCACCCCCCAGATCCTGCCCTATAGAGTCAGCTTAGCTCTGCCCAAACTGCACCACCACCTCTCCAAGCTCCTCAACCTTCGGAAGAAATGAGGAAAAACACCCATTTCTCAGATCCCCTCCCTTTCTAATTCTCACTTTTCCAAACTTAGACTCCGCCCACAATATATTTTTCCCCCTCCGTTTTTACTCCCTTATCTTGGATCACACCCACGTATTCCTTTCTTAAAAGCTTCAACCCAAATTTAATCGTTCTGACCCCATCCCTCAAGTAACCCTGCCCTGGGCCCCGCCCCTCGAGTCTCCCTCCGGCCCCCCATCTCCCCTAACTTTATTCCCGCCCCCCCAGTCCTCCCTTCACAGACGTCTCCATCCCTGACAGCCCTTTCCTCGGGCCTGCCCTGCAGTTTCCTCTTTTTCGGTCCCACCCGACCCTCCATTTCCCCAGGCCCCCCATCGCCCGGTCTCCAGGGTCCCGCCCACCTCTCTAACCGGTCCCACCGTCTTCTCTAACCTGATCGGCCCTGCCCTCGCCCACGCCAGCTCCCGACGTCTCTCTCGCCCAGCGCGTCCCCCGACACCGCCGCCCGTACCAGTCCATGAGGCTGAAGTGGTCTCGAGTGGGGTCCGGTGGCTGCAGCGCCCGGCACTGTGGGCAGAAGAACCCGTCCTCGCGAATGGGGCCCCCGGGGCCGCCGCAGTTCCAGCACTGGGGGGAGCTGCTTCCTGCTAGCGACGCAGCACTGCAGCGTAGCGGCCTCCTTCCGAGGACCCCGGGCGGCCACAACCCCCACACCCGGGGCAAGGCCCCGGCCCTCCCGCCCCACATCTGGCCCGCGGCCTATTTCGCCGCGGTCACCTGTCCGGGGTAAAACGGCCAGAGCCGCGGACAAGGCTAACGCTGCTGATTGGCTGGAGAGCTGAAAGGGGCAGGATCATTCCGGGAAAACCTGGATTCCGAGTCCCGCTCTACGTTTTAAACTACAACTCCCAGCAAGCAGCGAGGCCACGCTTGGACGGCTACTTCCGCTGCTCCTCATTGGTCCGGCAGAGGCGGAGGGGTGTTTTGATTGGTTGAGGGTGGAGTTTGTATCTGTTTAGCCGCCACGCCGCTAGCTGCAGCTGTAGCGAGAGTGTGGCTCCAGGTGGGCTCACGCGGTGAGTGTTCGTGGGGGAACGTCAAGGGGTTCGAATCCCGTCCTTAGTGTCTTAGTGCGAGCTGAGTTTCCCGAGCTTCCGAGTGTCTTCTTTTTGAGCTCCGGCCGGGAGGGGGGAGGAGAGGAACGCGTGGGCGACTCTCTTCCTTCTTTGTAGATGAACTTGCAGATGAACTTCCAGGTGAAGTTCATTTCCCCTGTTTGCTTACAAGCTGGAATTGGCTCAGACTTGCAGGCTCAGCAGCAACAAAGCTGAGTTCTTCCTGTAAGTGTTAATAATGATTACCGTACGTTAGGTTCCATCTCAAAAATACCTATTGAGAACTCACTCTTAGCTGCTAGGCATTGCAGGAACTGGAAACACACCAACCTGAGTTGAAGGATTCCCTGCAAAGTGTCCATAAGTAAGGGTGTGGAATGGGGTGGGGAGGAAAGGGCAGGAGAGCACCAGCCCTCCGTGGCACTAGGTTACTGTATTTGAAAAAGAAATTGTGTTGCACTTGTAAGGTGCTGTTGGATTCCTTAGGACTGGAATTCTGTTCTCCCAATCATCAAGCATTGCTGGGGAGGAGCATGCATGCACCTTCTCATTTAATCCTCAGTATCTACTTCTAGCAGATAAGGTTCCTCGAGGATCTTCCTGAAGGTCATGCAAAGATCTGACTCAGGCATCTGCCTCCAGACCTATTTGCCTCTAACTGCTTCACTGTATTTTCTCATGGCTGTGGCCAGTGTGGGTCCCACCTGATTTTTACCCTTATTTCTCATTCTCGATGATGGCTACCTCTTGACACACTGTCTTTTTGCCAGTTTTCAGGGCGGAGAAGTTTTGCTCCAAAACTGCAGAAGGACGGGCGCAGCCTGATTGAGGTAGCGTTAGTGCAGCCTGAGTGGCAGACTCCGCTCTGGCATCACCTTCCTGGTGTGCTTTAAGGAAAACTCCTCAGGACCTCTGTATCTGGAAAGCTGTGTAAATGCAGTCAGTGTGAGTAAAGCTTACTATGTTCTCCTCCAGTAGTCTGAGTGTGGGGATCAGGAGAGGAAGTGTCTTTAAAAAAGAATCAGATGGGGGATTTCAAGTTAGGGGTTGAAAGTTACTTTGGCTATATTGTAGGTTTGGTTCTCAGAGTTCAACTGTCCATCAAGTTAATTCTAAAGCCAGGGTGGGGAACCTCTGCTAAGGTCTCCTGTGGCTCAAAGAATGGTTCCTGCAGGATTCTGAAGGGCTGGCAGGCCTCTTAGGATGCTGAAAAGATGAGCCTCTCGTTACTTAGCATCACAAAAGGCTAATGGGGTTGTTTATGGCCAGCTTCTTTGTGTTCTGCCTCATTCTGTGGCCCAGCACTTAGCTGTTAAGGAATGTCTCTACTCAACCAACAGAACTTGGTCCTTTCCTCCTGAGCTGGTTTGGGGGACGAGGGACATCAGTGATCTTTTAAGTGAATATCCCCCCTGGAGCGGTGCAGCAAATGAGTGTCTCCTTGCCCATCTTCTACCCCAAACCACCAGACCCTTCTCCTTTCTCTTTCGAAACATATATGGCATTTAAGTGTAGTGTTGATTTGTATGAATGAATACACTTCAGGCTTCATTTCTACATTTTAAAGATTGGGCAAATATAAGCTGTTATAAGTCTCGTCCCTCTCCTCAACTCAGTTTCATAGCTCCTTACTTGTTTATAGCCTTCAAGTAATTTTTTAATTTCTTTCCTCTGTGGCTTGTGGCTCTTGGACGAAAAGCTGATCTAGTGAAAGTGAGCTGAAGAAAAGCTCAGCCCAGAAGAACTGTATGTCTAGACTGTTAGAATTTTAATTTTTGCAGAGCATGCTTGCCCTGGATTTTTTTTTTTTTGTCATTGTAATATGCTCATCCTTTACTTTTTAAAAAAATATATTTTAATGATTGACTTAGAGGGGAGGAGAGGGGGAGAAGAGAGAGAACGAGAGGGATAGAAACTTGGATTTGTTGATCCACTTATGTATCCATTGATTGGTTGCTTCTTTTATGTGCCCTGACCTAGGATCGAACCTGCAATCTTGGCATCGGGATGATGCTCTGACCAACGGAGCTACCCTGCCAGGGCCTCATCCTTCACCCCTGAACTTTCAGCCTTGTTCCTGGAAACCCACCTTATTGTTGGACGCTTATTTTTGAGGCAGTGATGTCTCAGGAGACGGAAGGGGAGCATCAGCAGTCCCAAGGCACCTTCTCCCCGACACCAGGCCCCTCCTCGCAGACCCCAGGCCCCTCCTCCCAGACACAAGGCCCCTCCTCGCAGTCCCAGAGCACATCCAGCTCCTCCACCAGCACAGTGCCAACGTCCAGCCAGTCCTCTCACTCCAGCTCGGGGACGCTGAGCTCCTTAGACACAGTGTCCACTCAGGAACTGTATTCTATTCCTGAGGACCAAGAACCGGAGGAGCCGGTCCCTGCCCCTTGGGCGCGATTATGGGCCCTCCAGGATGGATTCTCCAATCTTGGTAAGACCCTTTGTTCTGTAGTGTAATATTAACATTGTGTTCAGAAAAAGCAATTACAGATATTTGTGGCAGCAGAAAGCCCAAGACACTGCCGGTTGTGGGGCCTGTACAAGTTGATCCAGGACTATAAGAACCTGTGCTAAGACTTGAACTTGTGCCATCATCTGTCAACTTCCCTGCACGAAAACAGCTTCTACCCCCCTGATGCTGGGTGGGGTGTTGGGACTATCTTTTTTAAAGTTCAAAATAATCCTGTGAGAGTCTTAATCCTTATCTATCTCCATTTTACAGAAGAACAAACTGAGGCTTAGAAAGAAATTGATGAACTTGTTCACAGTCATACAGCCAGGAGTTGGTAAAAGAATGGTTTGAACCTACAACTTTTAGACTTTTGACCTATGCTATTCATGAGTCATTACGGAAGAAGTGAGTGGAGTAAGAAAGGTAATGAAATTAGTTGGCAGCCAAAGGGGCCTGTGGAGCCCAAGGAAGGCTTGCTGCAGCAGGAAATGAGTGTAAGAGAAAAGGTAGCAAGAGAGAGAGAAAGAGATATTTAAAATGCTTGAGTGGGGCCCTAGCTGGTTTGGCTCAGTGGATAGAGCGTCGGCCTGCGGACTGAAAGGTACTGGGTTCGATTCCAGTCAGGGGCACATGCCCGGGTTGTGGGTTCGGTACCCAGTGGGGGACGTGCAGGAGGCGGCCCATCAGTGATTCTTTCTCATCATTGATGTTTCTATCTCTCTCTCCCTCTCCCTTCCTCTCTGAAATCAATAAAAAAAAAAAATGCTTGAGTGGTGTCCTGGCCACTGTGGCTTATTCGGTTGAGCGTATTCCCATGCACCCAGAGGTCATAGTTGGATTCCCTGTCAGGGCACATGCCCAGGTTGTGGACTCGATCCCTAGCAGGGGGTATGGAGGAGGCAGCTGATCTATGTTTTCCCCTCTCCTCCCTAAAAACATATTTTTTAGAAATGCTGGCGTGGGAAGGAAATAAGAGAGAATATATAGCTGGGGGGATGGGGAAAGGGTGAGGGTGCTGCAATCAGACACGAGTTCAAGTCCCAGCTCTGTCTCTAGCTCTGTGACCTCAGGCAAATGATGTACTTTTCTGAGCCTCGCAGTCTCCATCTGTGAAATGGGGAAATCATTTCAAAGCAAAGGTGAGAGAGAGAAACCAAACGTTGGGATTGAATGGGACCAAAGGGAGAGATGGGTTAACTTTTCCCAGATGCCCTTAATTTTTCAGTGATAGAGGAGCCTCTGAGACAGCGGTTCTCAACCTGTGGGTCGCGACCCCTTTGGGGGTCGAACGACCCTTTCACAGGGGTCACCTAAATACATCCTGCATATCAGATATTTACATTACGATTCATAACAGTAGCAACATTACAGTTATGAAGCAGCAACGAAAATAATTTTATGGTTGGGGGTCACCACAACATGAGGAACCGTATGAAAGGGTCGCGGCATTAGGAAGGTTGAGAACCACTGCCTTAGAGGACAGTGAGGTTGAACTTGGAAGAGGTCTAGAATCCTGGCAAAGAAAAGGACTTACTTGAACTTTCAACTCACATGTCAAAAACCATGTATCTCTTCCTCTCTCCCCGAACACCTCTCCTCCGCATCCCCTTTTTCTTTCCCAGGAGGAGGGGCCCTTCCTTCTTTGGGTTCTTGCCTCTCATTGTCTCCCAGAGCTCCTGGTCCGCGTCCTCCTACCTTGTTCTTTCTGCCCGTCTGCACACATCTGCCTGAGGGGTCTTCTAATTGAGCAAAGGTCGGAGCAGGCCTTCCAGGGGAGGCTGCCCCTTGCACTCTCTGTCCACCGGTCTGGGAATCGAACTGGTGACCTCTTGGTTCTTGGGCGGATGCTCAACCACTGAGCCACTGGCCGGGCTGTGTGGAACTTTTTGAAGATCCACAAATGTGTCCACGGTGGCTGTGCTGTTTTACACTCCCACCAGGAATATGTGAGAGTTCCAGTTGCTTTGCGTCTTCACCAATACTTATTTCCTTAAGAAAAATAGACAGTAGCCATCTTTATGGGCGTGAAATGGTTGCATATGTAATTAAAAAAAATATATATTTTATTGATTTTTTACAGAGAGGAAGGGAGAGAGATAGAGTGTTAGAAACATCGATGAGACAGAAACATGGATCAGCTGCCTCCTGCACACTCCCCACTGGGGATGTGTCTGCAACCAAGGTACATGCCCTTGACCGGAATCGAACCTGGGACCCTTCAGTCTGCAGGCCGACGCTCTATCCACTGAGCCAAACCGGTTAGGGCTTAATGTATCTTTTAATAGTTAATTACGTGTCAAACTTTATTACGTAATCAATTTATTCATCCCGCTCGCAGTCACTTTTTATTAACTGCTTCCATTACTTTAATGAATCGGTTTCTAGAACCGCTTCCAAAACCCGCAACAGGTGCAGGAATAGATCACTGGAGTCCAGACACAAAGGGAAAATGGCCGTTAAAATCACCGGGAACAAAGCATGCAAAGGCCACAGACGAGTCTGGGCTGGCATATTGGGGAAGGAGGCCAGTGGGACAGGCTGCGGTGAGCAAGGGGAGGGGCACCGGGCGGGGCTGGAAGGAGTCAGAGGCCGGATCCTGAGCATCTAGCCTGCCGTGAGGAGTGCAGATAAATATACTACGTGTGATAGGGAGACTCAGGAGGATAACGGGTAGAAAATTACATCCAAGTATTTTTCCAGGTGATTAAAAATTGTTGGAGAACTTTCAATGACCGCTTGTAATTTTTTAGTATGTATAAGCCTTTATTTACTTATTTTTATTTACAGAGAGGAAGGGAGAGGGATAGAGAGTTAGAAACATCGATGAGAGAGAAACATCGATCAGCTGCCTCCTGCACACTCCCTACCGGGGATGTGCCCACAACCAAGGTACATGCCCTTGACCGGAATCGAACCCGGGACCCTTCAGTCCACAGGCCGACGCTCTATCCACTGAGCCAAACCGGTTAGGGAAGTGATGGCGAACCTTTTGAGCTCGGCGTGTCAGCATTTTGAAAAACCCTAACTTAACTCTGGTGCCGTGTCACATACAGAAATTTTTTGATCTTTGCAATCATAGTAAAACAAAGACTTATATTTTTGATATTTATTTTATATATTTAAATGCCATTTAACAAAGAAAAATCAGCCAAAAAAAAATGAGTTCGCGTGTCACCTCTGACATGCGTGTCATAGGTTCGCCATCACTGGGTTAGGGCATCCTTTATTAAGTTCATTGTTGGAAATTGATGTTTCTTCTCCTCCCCCACCCCCTCATTTTAATCTCATAATATCTTGATCATCATCTATCATTTTGATTGCCTTCTTCGTCTGTTTTCCTACTCGTGGGTTTTATGAGCCATTTTTGAAGGTGTTTGAGAGATGACACCCCACAGCCCCCTGGTGTGTGCTTCTTTGTTACAGAGTGCGTGAACGACAGCTACTGGTTCGGGAGGGATCGAAGCTGTGAATACTGCTTCGACGAACCACTGCTGAAAAGAACGGATAAATACCGGACTTACAGCAAGAAGCACTTTCGCATTTTCAGGGTAGGTGACGCGTAGCCACGTATTTGGGAGAGCTGGTCATCTAGTCCTCACTGTGGAAACTTTAAAAAAAAAACCACTTGGAAATAAAATGTCCTCTGTCTCAGGAGATGGGACCGAAAAACTCTTACATCGCATACATAGAAGACCACAGTGGGAACGGAACCTTCGTGAACAGAGAGCTGGTAGGCAGAGGACGCCGCCTTCCTCTGAATAACAATTCTGAGATTGCACTGTCCGTGTGGAATAACAAAGGTGAGCCATTATCTTATGGCTGTCGGGTTTTTCTCCTCCCAAATAAAAGGAAAATTGACATTGTGTGCTTTGCAGAAAATGGCTTAGGTAAAAAAAAAAAAAAGTATGTAGGTTAGCATTCAAGATTCTACTCAATCCTTGCTGCATTTTTAAAAAATATATATATTTTATTGATTTTTTTTACAGAGAGAAAGGGAGAGGGATAGAGAGTTAGAAACATTGATGAGAGAGAAACATCCATCAGCTGCCTCCTGCACACTCCCTACTGGGGGTGTGCCTGCAACCAAGGTACATGTCCTTGACCGGAATCGAACCCGGGACCCTTCAGTCCGAAGGCCGACGTTCCATCCACTGAGCCAAACCGGTTAGGGCGTTGCTGCATTTTTAAATTATGAAAAAGTTCTATCAGATCAGGTTTCCTAAGGTTTCATTGGTTTATTAATTTTATTTAAAGTCATATGCTGTCCATTAAGATAGTTCATAGTTTAGCCCTAGCTGGTTTGGCTCAGTGGAGTTCAAGGAATAAGATTAGTGTTTGTGCATGGATTTTATGCACTACAGTGAGAAGGAAGCTGTGTATCTCCATTGAAGAATGACATTTGTCATCATTTTCAATGGGTTTCATGATATTTAGCCTACCTAAATGGTTTCTTTGGGGTTAATTAGTAAATGTAATTAAAACAATTGCCTTATATTCCATGTTTACTAAAATTTAGGACCATTTACCTTCTCTTTATCTAATGAATTAATGAGACCCATTTCTGCTCTCTTTTCCTTAGTTTTTGTATTTTTCGATCTGACTGTGGATGACCAATCAGTTTATCCCAAGGAATTAAGAGACCAATACATCATGTCAAAAACTCTTGGAAGGTAAATTTTCTGTTTTCTTATGGAAATTGTACTTTATTTTTTTCTAAACATTGGTTTTATTTTATTATTATTTTTCACATGCTTAGAGAGAGGAAGGGAGGGAGAAAGAGAGAGAGGGGGACAGGGAGAGAGAGAAACATCAATGTGAGAGAGAAACATCAATTGGTTGCCTTCTGTACATTCCCCAACTGGAGATCAAACCCACAACCCAGGAATGTGCCCTGACCAGGAATCGAACCAGCAACCTTCTAATGCACAGGAAGACGCTCAACCATCTGAGCCATTCCAGCCATAATTGTAGGCCACTAGTTTATAATAGATGTGTGTGCTATTGATTTACTTAATAATGATCGATTGAAATGAATATTTTTTCCTTATAAATTTTACCTGTCATAACTTCTTAAAAGCAGTTTTAGTGAGATATAATTCACATACCATACAGTTCTATTATAGAGCACAGTGTCCTCTATAGGACCACCTGTAGGAGTTATATTAGTTTATGGACATTAAATTCAGTAAATCTCATCATGTTTTCATATTGGCATTGGCTGCTTGGAAGCTCATAGCCAAATTTGTGTCCACCCGTAAGAAATATGTGGGACTCTTATTTTCTTCCTAAGGGAGGATTCAATACAAATCCTCGCACAGGTAGCAGCTGACAGAAACTTAAATGAGTCAGTTAAGAAATGTATTGGCTCTTCTGGCCCTGGCCAGGTAGCTCAGTTGGTTAGAGCATTGTCTGTCCTGATATACCACGGTTGTGGGTTCAATCCCCGGTCAGGGTAAATGCAAGAATCAGCCAATGAATGCATAAATAAGCGGAACAGCAAATTGACGTTTCTCTCTCTCTTTCTCCCTTCCTCTCTCTCAAAAGAAAGAAAGAAATTTATTGGCTCTTGTAATTGGGAAATACGGGGGCACAGCTGACTTCAGGCACGGCTCGACCGGGAGGCCTTTGAGCTTTATGCCAATCTTTGAGTTCAGATGATCTACTTGGCTTTGTCTACAGCCAGATCTAAGGGCTCCACCGTGTTGCCAGGGCTCTGTCTCCATCCCCTGCTTCAGCTGCTCTCTGTGGCCCTCAGATAGAACTGCTCTCTCTGTGTGGCAGGAAAAATGGCTTCCAGGAACTCCACGTTCCTGTGTTCTTTCTTCCAGAAACCACAGCAGAGAGAACTGTTTCTCTCCCAACATCAGCCTTTGATTCCAGGGCAAACCTCTGATTGGCTGAATTTGACATGTCCCCGCCCCCCATCGTGCTAGTAGTGTATGTTGTACTGTGATAGACGTTCCACTGGACTCGGGGAAGATTTCTCGGGCAAAAGGTGACTGTTAGCTGCAGCAGGAGGGGAACTGGAAAAGGTCTTGAACATTTTCCAATATTTATTGATTGATTTTGTTAATCCTCCTCCAAGGATATTTTACCATTGATGTTTAGAGAGTAGAAGGAAGGGAGGGTGAGAGAGAGAGAGAAACAGAAGCGTCAGTGTGAGAGACGCATCAATTGGTTGCCTAGGTGTCAGAAGTAAGACTATCAAACCGTAAGAAGAAATCGTGGCCTTTGATTTGGCAGTGGTTATTGAAATGTGGCACCAAAGCGCAAGCAACCACAGAAAAAATAGATACACTAGACTTCGTCAAATTTAAAAACTTTTTGTGTGCATCAAAAGACATTGTCAGGAGAGTGAAGTACAACTCACAGAATGACAGAAAATATTTACAAATCGTATGTCATAAGGATCTTGTATCCAGAATAGAGAACTCTTTAACGACTCAGCAACAAAAAGATAACCCGATTTATAAATGGGCAAAGGAATGAAATAGACGTTTCTCCAAAGAAGATATACAAATGAGCAACAACAACATGAGAAGATGTTTAGCATCATTAGTCATTAGGGAAATGCAAACCAGAACCACAATGAGATAGCACTTCACACCCTAGGATGGCCGTAATATAGAAACGGAAAATAATAAGTGTTTGTGAGGATGTGGTGAAGTTGGAACCCCCCATACACTGCTGGTGGGGATGTAAAATGGTGCAGCCACTAGGGGAAATAATTTGGTGGTTTCTCAAAATGTGAAACAGAATTACCATGTGACCCAGTAATTCCCTTTGTAGGTAGATCCCCCCCTCTCGATGGAAAACAGGTGTTCAAACAAAAACATTTGCATGAATGTTCATTTCAGCTCTATTCACAATAGCCAAAAGGTGGAAACAACCCAAGTGTCCATCAACAAGGGAATGGATAAACAAATGTGATATATCCAAACAATGAAATAGTATCTATATATATAAAAGCCTAAGCGACCATTATGACCGGACGGTAGCTATGATGCACACTGACCACCAGGGGGCAGACTCTCAATGCAGGAGCTGCCCCCTGGTAGTCAGTGCGCTCCCACAGCCAACCTCCTGTGGCTGGCCAGCCTCCTGCGGTCCCTCCCCCCGGCCAGCCGGCCCCAACTGGGACTGGGCAAGATGGCCCCGATCGGCCCCAGTTGCAGGTCAGGCTGAGGGACCCCAACCATGCATGAATTCGTACACCAGGCCTCTAGCTATAAAAAGGAATGAAATACTGATACATGCTACAGCATGGATGAACCTTGAAAACATGCTAGGTGAAAGAAACCAGTCACAAAAAGCTACATATTGTATGATGTTATTGTTTTTTTGTTTGTTTGTTTTTTGTATGATGTTATTGTTAATGAGAGATTCGAATTAGGCAGCTTCATAGACAAAAAGCAGATCCGTGGTTGCCAGGGGCTAGCGGCGCGGTAGAATGGGAGAGTGAATGCTTAGTGCGTATGGGTTTCCATAGATAGGAGTGATGGTTGTACATTATAGATGTACTTAATGCCACTGAATTAAAACACTTTAAAATGATTACAATGGTACATTTTATGATCCTATATAATAAAATATGCTAAGTATCTGACTGTTCGTTCCACCAGTCGCTATGACGTGCACTGGCCACCAGGAGGGGCAGATGCTTCGATTGGTAGGTTAGCTTGCTGCTGGGGTCCGCCCGATCTGGACTGGGCGTGAGGGACCGGACAGCCCTGGAGCCCTCCTGCGGTCCCTTCCTGGCCCCAATCGTGCACCCGTTGGGTCCCTCGGCTCAGCCTGCACCCTCTCGCAATCCAGGACCCCTCGGGGGATGTCGGAGAGCTGGTTTTGGCCGATCCCCGCAGGCCAGGCTGTGCACCTGGCTTCTAGTCTGTATATATACAATAGACAATAAAAAAATGTCATGGAAAACCCTTCACACCACCCTAAACCCATAATAGTTATGATGGTTTACTTTATAAGGTAATGAATGATTGGTACTTAAGGAGCCATGACCTTGGGCTGACCCCAGACTTTGGAGAACAGAGCCTGTGTCGAATTAACTCTGTATGGAGGGGTATCCTAGGATAGCTTTTTCTTCTCTATTATAGTATCCCAATTAATTGCAAACCTTTGCAAGCAGGTTATAGTACTTTTGGTTTCTTAGGTATTGTGATTTTATTCGGGGTGTAATTCATGGCATCAACTACTTATGCACTTTCTTTGAAGACAAAATCAAGAAGTGCATCGATGAAAGTAATCTGCAGATGTTGTTTGCTGTAGCTTGTTCAGGCCCTCATTTTTGACGGGGCCTTTTTTTGTTTGCTGTTTGATCTCTGAGATAAATCATTTCTCTCTGATTTGTTGTTAGTGTCTTTATTAGACGTTCACCATCTGAAGTGACAGTAAGACAAGTCTGTCTCAGCTCAAGAAAAGTGGAATTTGGAGCTGGCCTGGTGTTGTTGGATGGTCCACATTTTTTTAAAAAATATATTTTATTGATTTTTTACAGAGAGGAAGGGAAAGGGATAAAGAGTTAGAAGCATCGATGAGAGAGAAACATCCATCAGCTGCCTTCGGTACACCCCCTACTGGGGATGTGCCCACAACCAAAGTACATGCTCTTGACCAGAATCGAACCTGGGACCCTTGAGTCCACAGGCTGATGCTCTATCCACTGAGCCAAACTGGTTAGGGCTGGATGGTCCACATTTACCTATGCCCTTGATGTGCTAGATTGGTGAGGTTTCACTGTGTTCTTGATAAATAGGGACAGTGGAAGGATTGTATATGGACTTTGTGCGTGCGAGAAAGAGAGAGATGGAGAGGGAGAGAGAAAGAGAAAGAAAGAGTGTGAGAGAGAGGGAGAGATCTTGTCCATTCTAATGTTCTCTGTGTTGTTCCAGTTTTTTAGCGCATGTGCTGCGGAAGCAAGCACTGGACCGCCTTTATCTCGTAATCGTTGAGGCCAACGCGGGAGTGGTGGGTCTCCTGATGAAAAACAGAGTCTCACAATCACTCTCTCTGTTTTTCCTTGTAGCGGTGCCTGTGGGGAGGTGAAGCTAGCCTTTGAGAGGAAAACATGCAAGAAAGTAGCCATAAAGATCATCAGCAAAAGGAAGTTTGCTATTGGCTCTGAGAAAGAAGTAGTAAGTACCTGTGTTTGGCTCCTCAGCTGCTCCTTAACATTCTTCATTTCCCAGAATAGTTTTGGAACGGTCATTTTCCATGTCAGGAAGAATTTACTGCTCAGATATGCGAATTTGCATGAAGGAACATTGACAGTTTTTGAGTGTATTCAACTACTCTAGAAACTTCTAATTTGGTTCCAAAAGATACTTGGTTGTATATAATGAACGAGCAGGAAGTTGTTTTTTTTTTTCCTCCTTCTAAGTTGTCACAAGACTGTTTTTACAATAAATGAAAGGAAATTAGGGAAAAAACATCCAGCCATATCCCCACCCCTGTAACTCCACAGCTGTTTTCAGTTTTCTTTTTCCTTTCTAGTCTTTGTTCATGTGAATTCGTGTTTTTAGATGGTTGAAATCACATTGTATATACAGTTTTCTATTCTGCTTTTCCATACAAGCATTAAGGCATAAACGTTTCCCTAATGCATTCTTTTTCATGGTCAAGTCTCTAGTTCATCGGCTTTATCATAATGTATTCAACCATTTCTCTGGTTGGTCGTTTAGATAATTTCTAATTCTTTGCTCTTCCCGGTAAATGTGGCAATGAATATCTTCCTGTTTATAGATTTTTAAAAATCTTAATTAAATTATTTTAATAGTCTCTTGATTTGCTAGCCATTCATTTTATGGGATACACTTTTACTGCGTGAGTGAAATGGCCAAATGTATTGGTCTTTCAACACATGATTCCACAAAGTAATGTAAAATGTGACCCGTAATCACGTTTCCTCTGTGGCCAGCTGTTTCTGGCTATTATTCTTTAAAATTCTTTAAAGATCAATCCCCCCCCCGCCCCCCCCAAAACAATGCCATTCTCACATAGCAAGAGGAATTTCCTTTCTGTGTTCACTTTGTTATAGAGCTTTTCCCCTGTGATTCTGGATTTGTTTCCCATTTGTGGGAGAAAGAAAATACCCACCAGATTCTTAATGACTTGCAGCAAAATTTTAGTTCTTAATTTCATCTTTCAAATCATTGTGAACTCTTTTAGACCTCTCTGTCATCAGAGCACACCCTGACTTAGTAATGAGTTTAACGGCTTTCAGGAAGGGGCAGGCTTTTAAAATTAAACATCTGGGTTTCTTAGCTGAAGTCCATTTTACATAAATATGTAATTCTATCTCCTCTCTGCTTGTGGAGGGTGTAGCCCATGAGGTTGAGTAACTTGATTCATCCTTTCGGAATTGTAATGGAGAACAACTCCAGTATCCTGAACCTTCCTCTAGTTAAAAGTCTCCATAAATATGTCAGCCTGCAGTTGAGATGGAAACCTACGTCTGTTCTATTATGAGATATTTGACTCGACAGTTTCTTCATATAGTTTAATAAAATAGCCTTTTTGTCAGTGGTTTTGTTTTATAATTTTTATGACTGCAAACAATTCCACAGCTAATGAGACAAGCAGAATTCACCAGGTAAGCATGAGAAGAGTGGACATACTTGTTTTTGGCTGTGGGAACTGGAGCAGTTGGCTTCCTTTCTCTGAGCCTCAGTTGCTCCATCTGTGAAATGGGGATAATTATAGAAACCAGTTCGCTTGGGGATTATGTGGCTTATGTGGCCTTATCCTTTTAAGTAAAGAGCTTGGGATAAAGCCTGGTCATTTTTTGAATGCTTCCTGTTTGCCATGCAATTTACAGAGTGATTTGAAGTGAGTTGTTTCAATGATTGATCTATAGGCCTTGATTTCTCTATGTGAGTAGAGATGGGTTTGGAAATCAGGCAGCTGTTACTTAACTAAGTTTAACTGTAAACATTTTGTAAACATTGGCTATTATTATTAATAATAAACTCTAATGTTGTTTTGTTTATCAAAGGATCCAGCTCTCAATGTTGAAACAGAAATCGAAATTTTGAAAAAATTAAATCATGTAAGTACTTCTGTGAAATATGGCCCATTCTTAAAATCATTTATCTCAAAATATGGGAGGAGCGCAAACCATTTCAATATAATAAAGCTAGCATGAAACGCGAGTTCCTTAATTGTGTGTGTGCATGTGTGTACATATGCACCCATATGTGTGTTTAGTTGTCATGCAGCTGGAAAGAGCTTTACCCTGAACTTTTGAAAAGACAATACTGTGCAAAGATTTCATGATTAAGTAATTATGTGATATTTACACTGATTTAGTTCTTAAACAGAAGACATAGTAAATCTCTTAAATTTCATTTCATTTTTTAATTTATTTCTTAATCCTCACCAAGGATATTTTCCCATTGATGTTTAGGGAGAGTGGAAGGGAGAGGGAAAGACAGAGAGAAACATTGATGTGAGAGCAACACATCAATTGGTTGCCTCCTGCACACGCCCTGACCAGGGCCTGGGCCGGGAAGGAGCCCGAAACCGAGGTACATGCCCTTGTCCGGAATCGAACCCCGGACCCTTTGGTCTGCAGGCTGACACTTTGTCCACTGAGCCAAATTGGCTAGGGCAGTGGTTCTCAACCTTCCTAATGCCGCGACCCTTTAATACAGTTCCTCGTGTTGTGGTGACCCCCAACCATAAAATTATTTTCTGTTGCTACTTCATCACTGTAATGTTGCTACTGTTATGAATCGTCATGTAAATATCTGATATGCAGGATGTATTTCCATTGTTACAAATTGAACATAATGAAAGCATAGTGATAAATCACAAAAACAATATGTAATTATAGATGTGTTTTCCGATGGTCTTAGGCGACCCCTGTGAAAGGGTCATTCGACCCCCAAAGGGGTCGCGACCCACAGGTTGAGAACCGCTGGGCTAGGGCAAAGCTCTTAACTTTCAGATTTCCTTGAAAATGGGAGGCTCCTGTAACGTCCCCCCCGTGGTTCCATTTGTGCAGAGCTGAGCGGCCCGCCGCCTGGCAGCATGGCGGGCACCCAGCTGACCTGCTTTCCATTCATGTTCCCTGTCAGGCTCCTCCGGGTTATGAGATGTCCTCGCGTGTCTGTGCTGTGGGGCACTGAGGAGGGGGCTGGGAGGAGACGGGCCTGCCTTCCGGGGTGCCATCCTTAGGTGTGACGCGGGAACCAGTCCCTTGCTAACTTGGCGGGGTGGCGAGTTCCGTGTGCGTCCTCCCTGAGGAGCCAGATTAATTCTGCTCTGCCCTCTCCCCTGCGTGAACTTCACCAAAGTGTCCCAGGACGGGGCCACATGCCTGGTCTCGGCCTCCCCGATTCTCTGGGCTGTTGCTGGGAGTCCTGCTCTGGTGGTTTTTTCCTCTTGGGAGCTTCTCACTCCTTTCCTTCTTCTCCCTCCTTAGCCTTGTATCATCAAGATTAAAGACTTTTTTGATGCCGAAGATTTTTATATTGTTTTGGAATTGTAAGTAGTGAGCTTCTTAATCTGTTCCCGTTTCAATGCTTATTTAAAGATGAACGCTGGCTTGCATTTCTCGTCCTGGGGACCCTGGACAGATGGGTGTGGTGGTGGTGGGGCCCACAAAGTGCTTGAGGGGTTTCATCCCGTATCGGAAACCCCTCCAGTGTGTCCAAAGGCAGGTGGCTTAGAGGGCCCAGGCCCCGGGTCTGAGGCCTGTGTTCGAATCCCACTCTGCAGGTGAGGAGCTGACTGCCCACTGTTAGACCTCTCCAAGTCATTTTCCTGGTGTTAAATGGGGTGATAATGACACTCCATTTGATGAGAGGGAATCATTGACTGGCCGCCTCCTGCACACCCCCGACTGGGGATCGAGCCCACAACCCGGGCCTGTGCCCTGACCGGGAATCGAACCGTGATTCCCTGGTTCATAGGTCAGCCCTCAACCATTGAGCCACACCAGCTGGGCTCTTCTTTCTGTTTTTAAGAGGCAGAAACAAGATCAGAGAGGTTACAGAATTTGCCCACAGCGCCTGAGCTGGGAAGTTGTGGAGTTGGGCTTTAGTCCCCTGATGATCTGACTGTCTACTCCTGCTTGCTTGCTCTATACCAGTCTCAGAATCTAACTGGGAGTGTGATTAAAACGCAAACTCCTGGGCCCTGCCTCGGATCCACCGAGTCAGATGTTTTTTTTTTTAAAGAGTGGGCTATTTATTTTTTTTAAATATATTTTATTGATTTTTTACAGAGAGAAAGGGAGAGGGATAGAGAGTTAGAAACATCGATCGGCTGCCTCTTGCACACCTCCTACTGGGGATGTGCCCGCAACCAAGGCACATGCCCTTGACCGGAATCGAACCTGGGACCTTTCAGTCTGCAGACCGACGCTCTATCCACTGAGCCAAACCGGTTAGGGCATGAGTCAGATTTTGTAAAGCTCTCCAAGTGTCTGCATTGCCCACTGCACCCTCTCCCCATCTTCCCTGTGGATGAAGCTTCTGACCTCATTGCCTTGACAACGGGAGTCAAGGGTGAATAAAAACGGCAACTCTTGGCTTGTCTTCATGAGTTTGTTTTGTTTGTGTGATTGTCGTCCACCCGAGTGAGGTTCCCTCCGGGCACGAACGCCCTGCTGTGCCGTGTGTTTCAGGATGGAAGGGGGCGAGCTGTTTGACCGGGTGGCAGGGAACAGGCGCCTGAAGGAAGAGACGTGCAAACTGTATTTTTACCAGATGCTCCTGGCCGTACAGGTAAGGAGCCCCCGTGCTTATGGCAGCCTACTTTCTTGTCGGTGAACTACTCCCTGAGTCGGTCAGAAAGCGAGGGAGCGAGGGGGAAACCTGGAGAACAGAGTGTGTGTGTGTGTTGTTTGTTCTGTTCTTGGCAAAAACACCTCCCCCTTTGACTCGGATGAGAAAGCTCTTGCTGTGAAGCTTGAGAGAGAGAGTAAGAAAGGGAGTTAAAGAAATAAACACGTGGTTCCCGTGTCTTCTCTTGAGCTTGGAGGGGCCTTGATCACTACTTCTGCCTGATCCTCGTAGAATCTCCCCTTACCTCTTTTTTTAAAAACAAAACAAAACAAAACAAAACAAAACACATATTTATTGATTTCAGAGAGGAAGGGGGAGAGAGAAACATCAATGATGAGAGAGACTCATGGATTGGTTGCCTCCTGCAGAACTTCCCATCCTCTAGTTCCCTACTGGGGATTGAGCCCACAACCCAGGGCATGTGCCCTACCTGGGAATTGTACCTGGGTCCTCCTGGTCCATGGGGCGACGCTTAATCCACTGAGTCACCACAGCCCGGCCCTCCTGTACCTCTTGCTGGGAGAGGAGCGGGTATGAGGACAGGGCCGGCAAGTTGGGGTGATGGTGACATTCTGATCGCTCCCCGTGGCTGGTCCTCGGTGTTCCCTTCACACGCAGCATCTGCTACCTGCAGCGGCCAGGCAGGTGGGCTGCCTTCTCTTCATTCCATGGAAGAGCCGAGTGGAGGAACAGCTGGTGGCATTCTGCCTGCTTTGAAGAACACCCTTTCTCAAACCAAATTTGGTCGTGGCGCTTCTCAGCCAAGGTTTCTCCCCTTGCAGACCTACTCTGTGCAGGAAATGCGGTGTTGAGATGCTTTTGCCCAACAGAGCACATGTAAGGTAGCTAGGCTAGGCTCAATGTCCGGTAGGTTATGTTCATTAAATGCATTTCGACTTAAGATATTTTCAACTTACGGGTTTATCAGGATGTAACCCCATCGTAAGTCAAGGAGCATCTGTGTTTCAGAGCATAGAGTTTAAGAAGACTAAGTAATTGCTCACTTTGATGGATTTGTTACCTTTAGGTATTTAAACTTAAATTTGCACTTTACAGATTCCCTTTAAGAATATTATTCTCAGGGTTGGGACAACCCAAATGTATCATCTTGGTGGAACTTTTATCGTTTATTTTATACGGTCTTCAGAATATTTTATATCACCCATTTATATTTTTCTTTTTGAAATTGACACCTTATGTCTCTGCCAACCTGAAGGGTTATTTATTATCTTGCAAAGAGAAGTAAAATGCCCACGTGCTGTCATAAGTTGCCTTTTTCATTTCTGAACTTTTTAAAGACTTTCTGGAAAACAAATTTGTAAACACTCACCCCTTCTGCCCAGGAGTTTTTCTGCGATTTGGGGAAATATATTTGTGAGTAACATGGCTTACAGTTTCACCCCGATGTGAGACGTATGTGCTGTGTGTGTTGTCTCTACTCACATGCATACTCCTTAAACTAAGGACCATGCCTCCCTTTCTGTGTAGTACCTTCATGAAAACGGTATTATACATCGGGATTTAAAGCCAGAGAATGTTCTGCTCTCGTCTCAAAAGGAGGACTGTCTTATAAAGGTGAGAACTGTATGTTCTGTATGTGGCCATTCCAATAGATTTCTGTTCAGAAACTGGTAGATTCATCAAGTACAAAGTCTGAGCATAAAAAGGTTGAGAATTTGATCTTTCCACTTTTAGCAATTATTTTTACAGCGCAGGTGGTATTTATTGTTTTAATCCAGATTCTAATGAGCATTTGTTGAGCTCCACTGTGTACAAGCCACCTTTATGTTTGGGGGCGGGGGGAGTTATCTAATTGGAGGGTAAATTACACACATTCCATCTTCTCCTTCCCTCTATCTGAGGCAGTGCTGCCCAAACCTGGCCTCACTTTGGAATCTCTTATTGATTAGAATGAATGAATAAAGAAATGAATGAATGAATAAGTACCATCATGACGTCCAGGCTGCTCCTGTGGGTCTCTGCAGGTGGCACCCAGGGATACATCCCCCCCCCCCCCCCCACCAAGTTCCTCAGATATTCGAGTGCGCAGCCAAGGCTGAGAAACTGGGTTCTAAGAGGAACCATGCATAACTGATCAGAATCCTGGAGTGTCTGTGATAGGAGTTACAAACCTTCTGTAAGGTTACAGAGAACACAGATAAGTTGGCATACAGCCTGGACCTTGGAGATTTCTTGGCTCAGGACTTTTCATATAAGCAAAATTAAATAACTTGAAAAGCTCAGAATTGCCTTGAATTAGACACGAATTTGTAGGTTCCAGATTAGCAGCAGACATGAACTGTAGGGTAGAAACTGGTCTAACCTGCCTGTCTTTGGGGACTGGCAGGCTAGAGTAATCTTTTCATTTTATGCTGTCATTAAAACCGATTCCTTTTTGTCTTTGATTTTAGATTACTGACTTTGGGCAGTCCAAGATATTGGGGGAGACCTCTCTCATGAAAACCTTGTGCGGTACCCCGACTTACTTGGCCCCCGAGGTTCTTAATTCCCTTGGGACTGCCGGATATAACCGCGCTGTAGACTGCTGGAGTTTAGGAGTTATTCTTTTTATTTGGTAAGAAACCATGGCTTCCGAGACTGGTTGGAGTTAATTAGGTGAAATCAGAAACATGTCCAGGTTAGAGGGCTTGTGTTTAATTTAGGTCACTTTTTTTTTTTTTTACCATTGATTTATAGAAAAATGGAATTTTTCATTATGCTGGGGGGAAAAAAGAAAGAAGTCTATATATCCGAATGCCACAGAGAATACCACTTGATTTCTTTTCCTTTCTCTCTCTCCCGGTATGAAGCCTTAGTGGGTATCCACCTTTCTCTGAGCATAAGACTCAAGTGCCACTGAAGGACCAGATCACCAGTGGAAAATACAACTTCATTCCTGAACTCTGGGCAGAGGTCTCCGAGGAGGGTATGGACACGAAAGGGTGAAGAATTCATGGTTTGCTTCAATGTGTGCGCGCGCGCTGTGGCGGGAGGGTTTCTTTTCGAATTCCATTATGTTTGTCTCCTGTCGGTTCTGTTCTTACTTCCTGTTGTTTTGCACCGTTTGAGAGGCAGCGGAAGTTGTTCCAAAGCCAGGCAGATGGAGACTCAAGTCCTGGGTCTGCTCCTCCCAGCTGTGGGACCTTAGGCAAGTTGCTTCAACTCTCCGAGTCTCCATTTTTTTTTATTTGTAAAGGGGACACAATAAACCCCTACCTTAAAGGGTTTTTGTAAGGGTTAAGTGTAATACACACAAGTGCCCGGTACCGATTTAAGTGGGCAAAATCACAAGTAACTTTTTTTTTAAAGTATATTTTATTGATTTTTTACAGAGAGGAAGGGAGAGGGATAGAGAGTTAGAAACATCGATCAGCTGCCTCCTGCACACCCCCTACTGGGGATGAGCCCGCAACCCAGGTACATGCCCTTGACCGGAATCGAACCCGGGACCCTTCAGTCTGCAGGCCGACGCTCTAACCACTGAGCCAAACCAGTTAGGGCACAAGTAACTTTTTAGTTACAAGGTTTCCTTTGAGTAAATAAGCCTGTAAGAGTTAGTGTCACTAGTTACTTTGTGTTTAAGTATTTCCATGCGCAACTTTGTAATTCTCTAAAGAAAAAAGTAGCAAAGTAAAACTAAATGACAAATAACTGTAACAAAGTTGACTGTGTTAAATGTCAGTGTCTAAGGCCGTGGTTCTCAACCTTCCTAATGCCTCGACCCTTTAATACAGTTCCTCATGTTGTGGTGACCCCCAACCCTAAAATTATTTTCGTTGCTACTTCATCACTGTCATGTTGCTACTGTTATGAATCGTCATGTCAATATCTGATGTGCAGGATATATTTTCATTGTTACACATTGAACATAATTAAGGCATAGTGATTCATCACAAAAACAGTATGTAATTATAGATGTGTTTTCGATGGTCTTAGGCGACCCCTGTGAAAGGGTCGTTCGACCCCCCAAAGGGGTCGAGACCCACAGGTTGAGAAACGCTGGTCTAAGGAATAATATTGTTGCAGTACACAAGCCGGCCTCCGTTTGTTGCTGGCCATCAAGGTTTCTGTCTGCCTGCAGTTCCAGGAGCCTGAGGAACTCTCACCATCAATCTGTCTGTGTCTCAGGGAGCGTGGGCTTGCATCCTGAGTGTCTTAGAACTGAGAGTGAGTTCAGCTTTCATTGGTTTGAACTTGAATCCAGCAATGAGAGAAGGAACAGAGAGGTAAGAGCAGGGAGCGATGGTCATTCCTGCCGTTCTCAGAGCACGCTGATGAATACAGAGCCTGAGGAGGATTAGGGGGCCCTGCCCACCAGACCTGCTGACTCCTCGCTGACCTCGGCCCCTCTCTCTCCTTCCTGCATGTTGGCCTGCGATTCTAGCATGCTGTTAGTTTTGCTGATTCGATGCATTTGCCTGTCTCACCGTGGCTTATTGCTTTTTAGCGCTGGACCTCATCAAGAAGTTGTTGGTAGTGGATCCCAAGGCTCGTCTTACGACAGAAGAAGCTTTAAAACACCCGTGGCTTCAGGTGGGTCTGGGCGCTGCCTCGGAGCATGAAATACGCGGGCAGCCCTGAACTGTGTCTGAGCGGTGAGGAAGAGGATGCAAACACAGCACTTGGGGTTTGGGTCTGTTTCCTGCAGCTGTTGTGGATTAAGCTTTAGGTGTGTGGGGTATGCACATGTGTGGGTGTGTCTCTGTGCGGTGTTTGCGTGCAGTCTTTTTAAACTCGATTCGTGGCTCTTGGATGGACAAGCTCACCTGATGGCCGGTCTTGGTTCCACTCGGCTTCCCTGGGTCCGTGGTTTGGCTGTGTGCCTTTGAGAAGTTGCTCTAACGCGGGATCTCATCCCCAGCTGTGCTCCCCTCTTCCCTCGAACCCTCTCTCCCAAACAGGTGGGGTGGGCTGCGTTCCAGCCTCTCCCACTTTAAATCAAGGAAGCAGGTGTTGGAGGGGAAGGGCAGCCTCCCTCGGGGGGAGAATCTAACTATTTCTTAAGCCCAAGTGGCTGGATAGAAAGGACCCCACTTGTTCATGGAGAGTAAGCGCGCCTTCAGTGCAGGCTGTCACCTGCGCCTTCCAAGCGTGCATCACCTCTGCGTCCCTGCTGGGAGTTCAGCTGCCATGAGGTTCTGCGCTGAGCTCATTGCAGCTGCAGGGGCTGGAGTCCTTTGTGGCTCCGCTGGGGTAACCTTTGGTTTAGGAATTAGCTACAGCATCGGGCAGGTTTCCTGACGGATGTCAGGTCTCCTGTTCAGTGCGGTTCCATTCAGCACAGCCATCCCCCTTTCTAGGAACTTCCGTTGGGTCTCTCTGATCCCTGTGGGGTGGAGAACTTAACCATCCATCTCAGCGGCGTGCCTCTGGGATTCTGGGAAGACTGTCCCCATTCTTTTGCTCTTCCAACGCGCCACACCTAACAGGTTGGCTTCGGTCAGCTCAGGTTGAGAGCAACACATCCTTAAAAGAAAAATTTTTAATATATTTCTTTATTGATTGCAGAGAGGAAGGGAGAAGGAGAGAGATGGAAACATCAATGATGAGAGAGAATCATGGATCGGCTGCCTCCTGCACGCCCCCTACTGGGGATCAAGCCTGCAACCCAGGCATGTGCCCTTGGCCGGAATCGAACTCGGGACCCCTCAGTCCGCAGGCTGATGCTCTATCCACTGAGCCAAGTCGGCCAGGGCTAAAAGAAAAATTTTAAAAAGTAGATATATGTGTTTGGGATGTTGACTTAGAAACAGCAGCCCCCCCAGAAGAAATCTGTCAGATGATTTAGCACTTAATAGACCGCACAGATTTGAAACCGCCCGGGGGGGCCCTGGAGAAAAGGAGTTTGGAAACAAAGGGTGCCTTTGCATGTGGGGATTTAATTCTGATGAGAAAGCAAAGCATGCCTCTGGGCTCTTTCTGTGTGCCCTCATAGGGAGACTCGTGGGGAGCTAGATGTGGAGGTAGAGGAGCTGTGTTAAGTCTTGGAAAAAAAAAATGGAGCTGCCTAGTTAGGCCTGGGAGCAGGGCTTGCATCTCCCAGGGATTTATGAACAAGAACAGCCTATTTTTCTTGTACTCTTTCGCCTCGAAAGAAAACGGTTATTAACAGCCGAGGTAAAGGCGAAGTTCAACCTGACTGACCTCAGGGGTCTCACTTGAATTCTCTTTTGCCTGCACTTTGTTTTGGCAGCAAAAGGTGGAGTGAACATGGAATGAGGACAAGGATGCAGAGGGCCCACGGACATCCCCTGCTAGTGATAGTTTAGGTCAGTGGTTCTCAACCTTGGCTGCACAGTAGAATCACCTGGGAATCTTTTTAAAATCCTGATTTCTGGCCCTCATCCTCCGGAAATTCTGTTTCTTTGTTACTCATGTTGTGGCCTCACCCCATAACAAAGAAACAGAATTTCCGGAGGATGAGGCCCAGAAATCAGGATTTTAAAAAGATTCCCAGGTGATTCTAATGTGCAGCCAAGGTTGAGAACCACTGGTTGAGGTTTTCTTTGGGGGAAATGCAGGGTTCTTGAAGAAGCCAAGTGGTCTGGCGGGTCTGGCCCTGGACTGAGCCCTGGGAAGAGGAGTTCTGGTCTGTTTTGTCATCAGCGGAGGAGCCAGTTTGGGGAGCATCCCTTAGATCCACTTCTTGCCTCCTTTACTGAAAGAGAGGGTTCCGTCCTGCTTGTCCCTGAGGCACATTGCAGTTAGTATTTCTGAACAGATGTGGACATTTCAAAGAAAGGGCATTTACGGATACACATTACTGCCTGTGATATGTTAAGGTAAAGAGCTCTTTTACATATTATTGCTAATTGATGACTTGTTTTAAATAACAGGCCTAAGTAGGCTTGAGGTCAGCTCTGTTTGGCTGCACTGCCGAGCTGCCATCTGAGGGACATTCTAGTGTGGTTTTATTTCTTCGTGCATTTAGTCTTTTTAAAAAATTTTATTTATATATTTTATTGATTTCAGAGAGGAAGGGAGGAGGAGAGAGAGATAGAAACATCAGTGATGAGAGAGAATCATTGATCCGCTGCCTCCCGCATGCCTCACACTGGGGACTGAGCCCGCAACCCGGGCATGTGCCCTGACCGGGAATCGAACCGTGACCTCCTGGTTCATAGGTTGACCCTCTATCCACTGAGCCACACCAGCTAGGGTTTTCCTTTCCCATTAGACCCAAGCTCTGGATACCGTGGGCTTGAAGTCCTTCAGGCGAGCTGTACAGCACTGGCTGGGTGAATTTCCCCAGGGTGCTGGTGGGTTTGTTAGGGTGGTCGCAGGAACTGGCCGCGTGTTGGCAGGAGGGGGGGCAGGGGCGACCTCCCGGAAAGACTTACCAGCTGCGTGGAGTCAGCCCCAGCCTCCGGCCTGCTGATTGCTATCTCAGTCAGGATCTGGGATGCTGGTTCTGAAAGTCGTTTGACTGCTTAGGCCTGTGGTTCTCTCTGACCCGCCAAGCGCTCTGAAGCATGTGGTTTTGATTCAGCCAGTGTTGATGGAGCGCTGCCTGCTGATTAGACTACGCGGGGGAGGCACGTGGTCCTCGCCCTCCCAGAGCTTCAGCCAGGGCGAGCCACGCACCTGAGAGACCCGACGTCTGTGCCCACTTCTCTGTTTCCGGGGGCTCCCTGGCCCCATCCTCCTCCGAGCGTTCCCTCAAACATAGGCGACTTATGTTTTCCATTTCTTTACAGGATGAGGACATGAAGAGAAAATTTCAAAATTTGCTTTTTGAAGAAAATAAGTCAACGGCTCTACCCCAGCTGCCAGCCCAGGTATTCCAGATGATGGTCGTTAAATGCGGGCTAAGTTTAAAGAGCCAGTGAGCAAGGATGAGGAGTTTGAATAGTCTAATAAAAATTGCTCGCGCTCTCTCTCTATACACACACACACACACACACACACAGGAATGATGTAGGAGATACTTTGTTTCAGCTTGATCTGCTCTAGCACCCTTAGAAGATTTAATAATGAACAGTATGCTTAAATGCATCAGAGAAGCACAGCTAGGGATTGTCATTCAAGAAGTCTCCTGCAAGGCAAGATTAAAAGACTCTGTTGGAGGCTCCAGTAGAAATTTGTTGAAAATTTTAAAATGTGGGTGAGTGACTGGTGATTTATTGGTTATAATTTTATTCCTCCATTGTTCTTTGTAAGTATAAGTTAATATCTGTTCATTCCTGTCCCACCTTCTTTTGGTGACGGATAGCACTCCTCTTCCCACTCTCCCCTTGCCATTTTATAAACTGGAAAACAAAGACACAAAAAAAGGCGTGTCTTTCCACAAAAGAGCACGATTTGGGGCTCCCGGTGAAAGGTATCGTCATCTCTTTCAATTTCATGATTTAGGAAAAGACCCAAGAGGAGGCTGTGAATGCTGCTTACTGTCAGTATATATCATTGAGCCCAGCCAATGTGGCTCATTGGTTGAGCGTCGACCCATGTACCAGGAGGCCACGTGCCGGGGTTGTGGGCTCCATCCCCAGTAGGGGGCGTGCAGGAGCAGCCGATCAATGATTCTTTCATCATTGATGTTTCTATCTCCCCCTTTCCCTTCCTCTCTGAAATCAATAAAAATATATTTATTAAAAAAAATATATATAAAATCATTGAATGTCACAGGGAGAGAAATGTCATTTTGATGAGCATGCCTGAGTCCGGTGGGATGTGATGGGGATTCAGATGTCAGTGAGGAAAACCAGTAATGGTTGGTACTAGTTTCACATGAAAGTCTCCAGATTTACTGGGAGCATATTGGGAAACTTTGATCATCTGTAAAAAGCCAGTGGTCTTCTTTGAACATTTCTCCCTTTTCCTTTCCTTCCCCCCAGGCTTCTACGAGTCGAAAGCGGCTCCTTGAAGGGGAGCCGGAGGATGCTGGCACCACAAAGCGCCTGGCTTTCTGTGCTGCTGTGTCCTGAGCTCTGGTTGAATGTGAAAGACATGGACCGTCTTGAACCTTGCTGCTCTTTTCTTTATGTATATGTATATATATATATTTTTTAGATTTTGTGTTTTAATTATGGGAACAGCTGCTTCTCCAGAGTCATCAGTACACAATTAAAAACCTAATGGAGCTTGGGCTGTGTGCTTCCGCTTGACGATCAGCTCTTTAGTTGCAGGCCTTTTCGTGTGTGGATTTGAAATCATGTGCTTTTTATCGGGAACTCTACCCTGGCTGTCACCAGCCCGGTGTCTCAGGAATTGTCCTTGGTCTCAGCCTCGGTGAGATGCATGCACATTCTAAAGGCTCTTTAGAAAGCTGCAGGGAAAGGGGCATGGCGAGGTCGGGGTGGAGTCTGTAGGGAGTGACTGGCTGCCACAGTCCTCCTGAGACAGTAGGTAGCTTGGTGCAAATACCACGGGCCTATTTTATTTTTTTCCACGGGCCTATTTTAAATTCTCATCCTCTCACCCTCATAAAGATGCAGGTCCACAGTTATGCTCAGGGAAATAAGCCAAATAGTATATGATTCCACTTAGATGAGGTACCTAGAGTAGTCACACTCACAGAGACAGAAATTAGAATAGTGGTTGCCAGGAGCTGGGGGAAGGGCAGTGAGGAGGGGGGAGTTATTGTTTCATGGATTAGGGAGTTTCTGTTTTGCAAGATGAAAAGAGTTCTGGAGATGGATGGTGGTGATGGTTGTACAACAGTGTGAATACTTCATCCCACTCAGCTGTATGCTTAAAACATGGTTAAGATGTTAAATGTTATGTGTATTTTACCACAATAATAATAATAATTTAAAAAAGGCCCTGGTTGGTGTGTTCAGTGTTTAAGCGTCGGAGGCAACCAGTTGATGTGTCTCTCTCACATCAGTGTTTCTATCTTCCCCTCCTTTTCCCCCTCCTTCCCACTCTCAGGAAAGCAAAGGGAAAAACAGCCTCACGTGGGGATTAACAAAAAATAAAAATAGAGGGCACAGTCCCTGAAACCTTGGGGCCAGATAATTTGTAAAATTCAGTATTTTCCTGATTTTAGGAAGGGGACATGGCACATCAACTCTATCATGTGTGATGCCCAGCAGGGTCCTGTAACCGAGCGTTAACATTTCTGCAGCAGACATGCACAGTAAAGGCGATAGGGAAGACTAAGGCATAAGCAGTTCATTCTTTTCTGTCTAGAAATGCAGATAAGGCATGTGAGTGTGTCCTGTTGACCCAGTAATGACCAAAGAGGCCTTATGTAAGGCGACTTGTCCAACTCTTACTTTTTTTTGGGTGGGGTCACCCTACCCCATGAAATCATGGCGGGGAGGGAGATGGTAAAGCTATGTGGCTGCATGCTTGACCCCCACTATAGAAGCTGAAGGCACTAGTGTCCTTCCCTGGTAGAGCTCTTCCCACTGGCCACCCAGCTAGAGGTGATCACAGGACTTTGAAAACCGAGCAAATGGAAATGAAGCAAATGCATGACACCACTGGTGGGAGGAGCAATATTGTGCTAATCTGAGCTTTCTGCCTTTTCTGCCTTTGGCTTTATTAGGCAAGTTACTTCAAAATGGGTGCAACGAGAGTACCAACCTCAAGAGTCTCAACCCCGAGACTTTGGAGGGAACTTTTGGGGGTCAACTCCTGCTTTCCTGGTCAGATATGAGGTAGAGGCTGCAGGGGATACCATGGGAAGAGAACTGTCTGAGAATGAAGCCATCAGAGAGGGAAGCGGAGCTGAGATGGGAGAAAGACAGGTTATTGTTGGAGCGCCTGGATCTAGCTATGCCGCTAGCGAGGTACCACCCCAGGACTTTTTAATACTTTTCCTTCAGGTTGCGGTTTTTTGTTTGTTTTTTTTGTCACTTGTATCTGGAAAAGACCGGACTAATAAATTCAACCATTTATAAACTCCAAGAGACCCTTGGGAACTTTTTTTTCCTCCTGCTAGGGAAAACATTCTCGGCTTCTGTTTTTTTTTCTGCCAAGTTTAGGGTCTTCAGAGAGGTTTGGGGCAGAGAATGCAAAGCAAAGATGTGGGAAGTAACAGAACTTCCAGCTCCCAGGTGGAGCTCACCCCTCCCAGCTAATTACACCACAGGGTTTGGGAGCCAAGCCTTTTCCTGAACCTTTTAGTCTTGGAAGGACGGGGCCGGAGCTGTGCAGGGAAGCTTGGAGAGCCTGCTGTGTGTGCTACGTGTCTGCCTGCCTGACCCCCACTATGGAAGCTGAAGGTACTACAGGCTCAGGAGCACACATGCAGCAGCTTCTGAAAGCTCAGCTCCACTTTGCGAGATGGGCTGCCACGCTCCCCTTCGCACATTTAGAAATCAAGGCTCCCTGGCTCCATCAAGTGTCCTCTTCCAGGTTCCCCGGTCTGTAACAGGTGGAGGCCATGCTTGAACCAACAGGTGGAGGCAATACTTGAAGCGAGATTTCCCTTCTCAAGAGCCCACGGTTTTTACCCAGTAAACAAACCTCCATGAGAGGTCCTGACGTCTGATTAGCACTTGGTCCGCCTTAGGCCCGGTGTTGACACTTTATCTTGATGATTGCTTGCGTCCTCCCATCATGCCTTCGTTGTCGGACCTTATTAAGGAGAAACAGACCCGGATCCCCGACCTTAATCACGCAAAGGGTTAGTGGAGATGCGGGACGGTAACTCGGGGTCCCCATGGAGCCTGGCTCTCCCAGAGACAAGGGCTGGCTCCTGCACGTGCTTGTCCACTTCCACGCCGGGGATGTCATCCTGACCTAGAGGCATCCTCCGCCCGGCACTTCGAGGGGGTAAGTCCCTCCTGGTCCAGAGCCTCGCCCCACGCCCTGTGCAACGGGTGAAGCAGAAGGAGCCGCGCCGGGAAGGAGCCTAGGAATCGGGCCTGGGGTGGTCGGCTGTGCGGCAGGCGGCGGCGCTGAATCCAGAACGGCGAACGCTCCTGCGGGGCCGGCCGGGTGCGGAGGGGGTGGGCGCGGCGCGGGAACAGCGGCCGGCTCCGAGGGCGCGAGGCGGGGGCTCGGGGGGGAGGGGGGCGCG